CTCTTATTCATAATATTCATCTAAGTTTATTATATCAAGATGAAAAGATTTCACTAATAGTGTTAAGATAAGTATAATATAAACTCAATATGGACTTCAATGCTTATATCCTAAATAACTTGCTATTAACATGTCTTATCATTTTTATCTTATTAATTCTTAATACCTTCCTTGTTAAATAGTTAATCTATATTTATGTTGTATAACACTTGATACAACAAATGCTTGGCACTTTCATAGCCAACCGTATGGTATAACCTACACATGTGTTATGAAAGGAACTTAATTTGTTGTTAACATAAGTTAGCATCATGAATTTTTGATAATATTTAAAAGTTTGATGTTATATAAATAAGATAATTAATATGATCATGTTAACAATTTATAATGAGTTATTAATGACAAATCATCCTATTAAAACCTTATTTGTGTGTGATTTCTAGTTAAGTAATAAAAAGAATTTATATTATATTTATTTTTAATACCATTAGTAGATCCTCTAACCTTGATATTTTTATTATTATTATTTAATCCTCATATTAATCTTACATCTCAAAGTCCTCTTTAACTTATTATTATTATTATTATTATTATTATTATTTATAATTTATATAGTTAACCTTCCTGTGGTTAGATTCCGGTTTTGTCGGATTATTTATTACTTTGACACTTCTATACTTTGAAAAAAAATATTAATTTTTTAATCTTGTCAAAGTGATTACCTCTTAACTTAATAATAATTCTTATCTTTTTATCTATCAAAATTATATTTACTAACATTAGAATTTGAACTCTAACAAGCAGCCGTGCGGTTGGTGTAGTTTGCCATCACCATAAGCTGCTGGGCGGTGGTTCCTAGCCGTCAGAGATAACTATCATGACCCACTAAAAGGTCACAGAGTTCTTCGAAAGACTAGGATTTTCCCTTCACACGGATTGATGTAGCCATGTCCCTGAAATCAAAACTCAAACCATTAATTAAGAATGTAAAGGGTTAGATCATTGTCAGATATAGGGTGATCTATCAAAGTTATCTTGTTAGCCAATGCCTTTACAACATGCATGAAGATAATCTAGAATTGAACGATTTTTCCTTTTTATCAAGGTAATTTCTTCCTGGAATTGCATAGCTCTCATTTGAGATCTGCTAGCATACATATGATTTAATTTTGTCCATGACTCGTGAGATGTTTTAGCGGTAGTTATTAGAGGAGTGATGATGGTGGAGGTTGAGGCAAGAATGGCACTGTGTATTAGTCTGTCCTATCGAACCCTATGGATATTTATTGGGGTAGATGTGGGAGTGTCATCAAGGGCAAAGAGCTTCGAATTAGGCATGCCACTATAGGAAGATGGAGGGAGTTATTTTCTCATTTATTTTGTGCTATGATGTTGAGATCAACCAGTGCTGTTTCGGTTGGAGAGGGAGGTTGGTTGTTTGGATGTTGAGAGGAAGACATAGCAGATGCGAGGATCATAGTCTCGTTGGAGTAGTGGTGCTCTGATACTATAAAGAAGATGCGGAGAGAGTGTTTCAATGGAAATTCACCTCAATATTATTGTTATGATTTGGTGTCTAATATATACAGATTGTATACTCTAATGGAAGAATTACAGAAGGCTAAATATAGAAGAATACAGGTTTGTTGGCTAGAATTATGCAGCACGGGTAATCAGCAGTACTAGTTTTGGTAAGAATCTACATGATTGTAGACTGGGAATCTGGTGGATTTACTTGAGAGTAATCTTCCTTGATATCTGTTCATAAAATTTAGAATAAAATAATTTTAAAATATATCTACATGATATTAATAATTACCGATACATATTCAATTTAATTTCTTAATTTTTAGTTAAAAGATTCTATTGTATGAATTCAGAATTTTAGTAGTGAAAGGTTTGAATTAAGAGAATAAATGACATGATTTAGCTATTGCAATGTCAGAAATTTTTAAATAATTTAAGAGATCTATGATATAGTTGATTTAGAATTATAATATTCTTTTTCTTCGTTATGATCTGATGGTGCTCACAGAAAATGAACTTTAAAGTGGTTCAAGGAAAAACAACAATAATAAATATATCATAATAAATTCTGATTCAAATTGTTTTGCTAAAAGCCATTTTTCTCTCTTTCTGTCCTAAATACTTATTAATGTTATCAATTTTATATTTTATTTTTATTTACACATAC